TCTAATCATCTTGAAGGTGTCTTTCCAGGTGAGATGCTGGCTTCTTCGGGGCCCTTTTCCTACCTCTCAAAGTGTCCAAATCAAAGTTTCCAGCTCAAAGGTGCCGGCTTCCTACGAGAGTTCTGGGGAGGTTGCTACTTGGCTGTTGACCCTCCTGCCATAGGTCTCCTGCCCCTCTTCAACACCCCCCCGCCCCACTTTCATTCTCCGAGTTCATGTTTCTCTCCCTCTCCCCCGGTCCAGAAGGAGGAGGAGGACAAGCCTGGCTGTGTCCACATACACACACACCTGTTGCCCCCTCTGGAAGGTCAGTCAAATGTTCCTCTTGTATGTAAACCGTTGCATGACTTGCTAGAAGAGGCAGCCCTGGGTTTCCCTTTGGCACTTCCTACAAGCCTCTCTGACCTGCCCCTATTGGAACTTCTCAGCCGTGAATACACGGAACGGTTTCTTACCTGGAAATGGTTGGAGCCTTCCCCCCATTTTTTTTTCCTGGAAAAAGAGCCGATCACAGCACTACCCCCAGCTCTTCTTCCTAGCTTCAAAGACTAACAGGAGCTGCAGCCACAAAAACAATCCCCACCTTGGGTTTGCTTGAATAATCAGATTATGAGGTAGATCCATCCTCTCCTTCGCTCCCAGCCCTCATGACCCAAAACTACCAAATCAATGTAGCTTCTGTGTTGGGAGGTGGGTCTGCTGCTTGTGCTCTGGGCACAGGAGGGGGTGTGCAAGCACACCCACCTTGGAAGGGGCATGGCGTTATCCTTTCCTAACCAGAGGCTGTAGGGCTACCTAGATGGCAGAGCCACAACAGTCTGATGATCAGTGATTAAAGAACTGAACTAATTCGGTTCTTTTTTTAAATTTCAGGAACATTAAGCAAGTGGAATCAAGCCTTCCCTCCCTCCCTCCCTCCCAACAGCATGGAACCACCACTGAACAACCATGATGTCAATATTGGTGTGTTTTTTTCCTCTTCCTTGAACAAGACGGCAACAGCAACCGTTTCCCCTCGGTTTCTAAGAGAGCCGCTGAGTGGCTGGTGTCTACTTGGTTTCAATAAGAACGATGTAGGAAGGGAGGCAGTTCTCATTTCACATTAGAGGGAAACAGTTGGGCCAGGCTTGGACCCTTTGCAAACAAGAGAGGGCAAAGCCAAACAGCTAGCAGTTTTCAATTACAGCCTGCAAGCTCACGGATTCCTGCCCGTTGGCCTTTGGAAAGAAGAGGGGAAAGGCCAGGAAGACCAGATCCCCTTCACCTCTTGAGGAAGGCAGGTAAGGCCTGACACTTCATCCTCACCATCTAACGAAGAGCGTCGTCCACTTCATGCAAGCCCACTGGCTCCGAACGGGACACGTTGTACCTTCTAAAGGGTTGGGAGTTGCAAACCGCCTTCGTGCCTGGGCACACAGGTAAATTCGAATGCCGGTGGACACGGGTTCACAACAGCCACTTCTCCAGAGGCTGCTGTCACCAGCATGGACACCCTCCTGGCTCTCCTCCTCCTTTCTGCCTTTGAGGCAGCTGTCGCCCCTTTGCTGAGCAGCTCTTACAGTCCTCCTGCACAAGCCGTGTTTGGGCTCTTGCTCAGCAAGGGCTTGGGATGATGGCTGCAAGAACGGTGGGTAACCAGCTCTGAAGTGGGGCCCATAAAGGACCCTGGAAAGCCCCTGGGTGTGTTTCTAGAACCAGGATGGCCTGCTGGGGTCTGGAGAGAAAGGGGCTGAGAGGTGGGCTTCTGATGGCTGCGGGAAGGACTTTCTCTCCTTTGGAAAAGGGTGGGCTTTTCTCCTCCCCCAAAGCGGTCATTTCTCAAAACAAGGGAGCACCATGTCCCTGTTCACGCCTATGCCACGAAAACAAAGGACCACGTTGCCAAAGGGAGCCCTCACTTTTTAAGACTGGGCATATCCCAACCAGCCAGTTCCAGGACAATGGCCCTCTGTGGACAGGAGGAGGACGGGGCGGGGGGTGGGGGGGTGGAGTTTCGCATAGTTCCTCCAACCCGCTTAAGGATTGTGTGAAATCTCAGCAAGATTCCTTTCTGAGAATAGCATAGAAAGTAAGCAACTATTCTGGTATGTGGCCCATTAAGCTTTTATAAGTAGCTTATCAAGTAGGCTGCTGAAGAGAACATTTCTGTTTTGGCCTGCAGCCATCCCAAAAGCAGAGCTAGCCATTCCCTGCCACATCCTAGGCTGAGATCCAACCATTAAAATGGCCACTGAAAGCAGCTCCTTCCTTTCTAAAAGAGAAGCTGCTATCTCCATGGGACCTTTGGACTCCCTCTGCCCTTGGAGGACGGCTTCATCTTTTAGGTATCTTTAGCTGACTCTACAATGCTCTAAAAGCCATTCCCAGCTTCAAATATTGCAAGAGACAATCAGTAGAAGTTGATTTATCACTGATATATATATATATATACTTAAGTCTTAATTATTAATTAATTATAAAAGTTGATGGGAATGTAATGGGCAATCGAAAAGGCTGGCATATTGGGTAGAGATGGGCTCTGCATGGGGCTACCCTGGAAGCACATTCGGAAGCTACAGCTGGTGCCGAGTGTGGCAGGGCAGGCAGCCCTTGAGGTCCCAAGAGTGGGCCCTGGAACTCCGCACTGGCTTCTGCTGTGGTTCTGCATGCAACTCAAGGTGTTGGCAATCACCTTTAAAGCCCTTCCTGGCTGGCTCCAAGCTACTCCGGGGACCGTCTCACCCCAGGGGGGTTGGCCCGTCCCACCTGCACCAGCAAAGGAGGCCGGCTGCGAGCCCTGTTGGCCAGGGAGCTCCCTCTGGTGGGTCCAGGAGAAGAGCCCGTTCTGCCCTCCTTCGCCTCCACCCCCAGAGTGCGGTCAGCTCCCACCCTCCTGCCAGAACTTGGAAACCTGGCTCTACCAGTTGGCCTGAGGGTCTAATGGGGGAGCATCAGGCTGGAGGGAGCTGACAGATTCAGAACAGATGCCCTCCCCCCTCCGGCTGATTCTATTCCCTCCCTCCTCATCTTTGTATATTTGTAGTATTTTATATATAGGTTCTGTATAGTTTTAACTTTTAACATTTTAATCCACTCAGAATTACCCTGTGGTAAGATGGACGGCCAATAATTTAAATAAATGATAGGTAGATAGATAGATAGATAGATAGATAGATAGATAGATAGATAGATAG